GATTTGTGCACTTTGTCACTGCTGTTACGTAGGGGAGACCACAGTTGTGACACAGTCGATTTCTCGGAACTGACAACTGCCAGCGAGCTCGCAGCAGCGTACGTTTGTTGTTTGCGAGACTCGCTATGTGATGCAGTACGCGAAAACAGTAGGGAAGCGGCTGTAAGTGTACAACATTCGTACACAAACAAGCGCAAAACGTAAGTTTATTATCAAAACTTTGATTGCATATATATCGTTACGAGTTACACATCTTCCATCAATCCTTCAGCAGTCATGCATTAGCAGTAACGTCGAAGAGCTCATTACCTCCTCATCTACTGCTCGTAGTCCTCTTGCCACCACTTCTAACGTGTTTTCACCAGTCACTTATGTCGCTGCCTAAAGCTCCACCAAGAAAAAAACCAATCAAATAGACACAAGATCAAATTTGCTGTGCTAACTGACACACCTACCAAAGACGAAATTGCTGCCATAGAAGCTAGTAAAAAGATCAAAAATGTAAAAAAACGTGCTCTAAGCAAAAAAGAAGAAGCCTAAAAAATTAAAGAAGACTAATAAAAAGAGTAAAGTTGATAATGAAGAGGATGAAGCCGAAGAAGATGCGGAAAATGATTGTTATTGTTTGTGTTGCCTTGAAACCTTTTCCAATAGCAAATCCAAAGAAAAGTGGGTTCAGTGCCTTGAATGCAAAGGCTGGACTCACGAAGCTTGCACTGGGGGTGAGCTTCAATACGTCTGCCATAATTGTTTATGAAATTAAATTTTCTTTTTATGAGTAATTATGTTATTTTAATACGTCCAAATATGCCAAATAATAATAATAATAGTGTTTTGTTTGAAAGAAATGAGCTATTTATTTATCGGTAAGGTAATAGATTTTTTTTGCACCTACCAAATAGTTTAAATACATTAGTGTCACAGCTTACCTCAGTGTCTGTCACAACTTACCTTCTCCATTTTTTTTAAATTTTCTTAGAAACATAATACTTTCATTAATTTTGCTTATTATTTCTAAAAGAACATGGATTGAGCTACATTAAGTCATTCAACTGATGGATTTAAAATGTTTCTTGACTGTGAAGTAATAATTAAAGCAAAAATTGTCACAACTCTCCTCGGTCTCCCCTACAGAACTTTAAATGTAACTAAAATAAACAAACATACATGTTATACATATAGTACAATATATAGATAAATAGTATGATTTACATATTTAAATATATTATATATTTAATATAATAGAGCCGTGGTAGCTCAGTGGTTAAAGCTCGCTATAAATATAACAGAACGTGACTAACCCGGGTTCGATCCCCGCCGGCACCAATTAAATTGTTAATTGCAATTTTAAGTGCTGATTTACCACGTGCTCGGCGGTGAAGAAAAACATCGTGAGGAAACCTGCATGTCTGAGGAATAAGAAAAATATTTCGAAGACATGTGAAGTTCGTCAACACGCATTTGGGCAGCGCGGCGGACACTTCCTTGCCCTAAACCCTCTCAGAAATGAGGGGAGGCCTGAGCCCAGCAGTGGGACGTATATAGGCTGTAACTTTACTTTACTTTACTTTACATATTTAATAGATACATATTTAATTCTCTTACATAAATAAATGCTTTCAATTGCCACTATATGGAATGAGTAACTTTTAATAAAAAACTGAGTAATACATAGGTCATAACACCCAAATTATACCCACTTTACGTAATGGGGTATGGGCAAATTTTTAAATTTGCCACTTGCATATTCAGAAGTCCAATAAGAAATACTGATAAATAATATGGTAGAACAAGTTCATTCTTCTATATTTCTGGAATAACACTTAAATTAATTTTAGCAGTTTGTTTATGTTTCAATTTTAATAACACAGCTCAGTTGAAGACGCGTTTGTCATCGACATGAGTTACACAGCCAATTTCGACTTTATATTTTAAATCAAGACAATCTTATACCTGGTAGTATTTAGTATCCGTACACTGTCGTAACAGTTAGTGATACCTACGTAAATACAATATTTCACAAAAATATAGATCTTTCTCCATCTAAAAAAAGTCCATATGCCTATTTCTTATACATAAGCCAAAATAAGGTATTTTGTGATACAAAATTATTGAAAATTAAAAGGTGATTTAAAGCATTATTATTCGGCACGGCAAATTAATCCTTACGAACGAAAGTTACTTCATCATCAAGACAATTTTATGAAGATAAATTTTACTCTATAGCATGTTATTTGGATGCATAGTTTAAGAGATAATGAGAAATTAAAATAATTAAACACTCGGCTCGGCGACAACGCTCTGGCCGTCCGATGAGAAACGGGAGAAACCATCAGTGAACGCTTCTATGAGTGAGGTTAGTTCATTAATTTTAGCTAAAGAATTGGCAAAGTTAATAGAGTAATGTTATAGAGCAAAATTACATTTTATCCCAAAGATATTTATGTTGCAGTAATAGACCGGACATCAGCAACAAAATTGTTGTCTGTAACTTTTGTCCTATAGGATATATCTCCGATTTTTGTCATTTAGTCTTAGGGACATGGTCAAAAGGTCAAGACGCGTTTCATAAATTTATGCATTAAAGTTAATTAATTGTAAGTCACGATATAGAGCCAAAAAATGAATGTGATTTCGGTTCATTCATCATTACAGCCCTTCACAAGTCCACTGCTGAACATCGACCTCCCCCAAGTAATGCCACAAAGCACGGTCCTGAGTCAACTGCATCCATCGACTTCCTGCATGTCTTACCAGGTCGTCACTCCATCTAGTGGGGGGTCGCCCTACACTACGCCTACCGGTAAGAGGCTGCCACTCGAGAGCCTTTCTTCCCCATCGGTTATCGGTTCTTCGAGCTATAAGGCCGGCCCATTGTCAATTCAGCTTACTAATCCGTTGGGCTATGTCGGTCACTCTGGTTTTACTGCGGATATCCTCATTTCTGAATTTATCACGCAGAGAAACTCCGAGCGTAGCCCTCTCCAAAGCTAGTTGAGCGACCTTGAGCATCCTCATACGGCCAGCAGTGAAAGATCAGATCAGATACGTAAGTCATCACTGGCAACACGCACTGGTTGTACACTTAACTTTTCAGAGAAGGAGGTATACCTGACGAGATGATGTGTCGTAATTTCCCGAACGCTGCCCAGCCGAGTTGAATCCGTCGATTGACCTCTCGGTCGAAGTTGGACCTACCTAGTCGGACTATTTGTCCCAGGTAAACGTACTCGTCAACAACTTCGAGCATAGAGCTCCCAACAACTACCGGCATGGGTCTGACATGGACATTAAACATGATCTTTGTTTTGTCCATGTTCATCTTAAAACCTATCCGTTGGGAGACACCACTGAGGTCATTGAGCATAGTGCTAAGGTCCTCCAGCGATTCTGCCATAAGAACTATATCGTCGGCAAATCGAAGGTGAGTGATGTACTCGCCATTGATGTTAATACCGTATCCTTTCCAGTCCAGTAGCTTGAAAACGTCTTCCAATGCAGCGGTGAAGAGTTTCGGGAATATAACGTCACCCTGTCTTACACCTCTCTGCAGTTGGATAGGTTTCGAACTCTGGTTCTGTACTTGGATAGCCATCGTAGCCCTACTGTACAAGCACTTCAGCACCTCGATATACCGACAGTTAACTTGGCACCGCTGAAGGGACTGTAGCACCGCCCAAATTTCGACGGAATCAAAGGCTTTCTCATAGTCCACATATTATGCCAGGCAAAGTGGCAGATTGTACTCTTCGGTTTTCTGTACAATCTGCCGCAGGGTATGTATGTGGTCTATGTTACTGAAGCATTTTCGGAAACCGGCTTGTTCGGGAGGCTGAAAGGCTGGTTCATTACCGTAAGAATAATGTATATTTACCAAATAATCTTTCAATATTATAATTTTTAGCAGATTGTTCTAGAACATTTATAATTATTGTAATAAGCGTCCTTTGTTATCCAGTAACGTCACTATTTATTTACCAATGTTTAGTGATTGACGACGTGCCTAAAACGGATTTTTACCTTATATTTAGCAGCGTCACCTAATGGGGAATAGCTAAAATGTTTTCCTAATATATATTCAGCGTAATATTGCTATATTTCGCTAAAGGGCGTAACACACGCACGAACTTACAGTTTTTATATGCAAATGTTCCCAATGTCCGCTCCATACTATATATATTTAAATCTCTTTGATTTATTCACTCACCCTCCGCTTCCTTGGTGAGCGTCAACCCTACTCACCCGAATCGCGATATTTTTTAGTTTTAAAGAAAATAGACACGATACATGAAACATTTGTAGGTACGAAATAATCCTATAAATAAATACATGTACTCCATAAATTTTGCCAATTTTTCTATACATTGCTATCTTATATATAAATAGGTGTCATGTCAAGTTGCGCGGGCCAGACGCGTGATATACGCGGTTTCACCGCGGGGCACAGCTAGTCACCAATAAGCGTGCGGCATAAAATTACAAATTGAAATGCTATTGCCTGCTTTATAATACAAAGAAAGTTAAATGTTTGAACCATTTCATAAATTTTTCTATACTAAAATAATCTATACATACAATTCATAAAGGGATAAAGATAATAAAAAACAATTAAAAACTACTAAACGCTTTATACTACACATAAGACGTTCGGTGGGCTTGTTCATATAAGGTAATTGACACTCATGTCAATTGAATCTTTTTACTAACTACTAAAACGAAACAGGGATATACTGGCAGCGGTAAATCCGATGAAGCTGTATAAGCCACTGGCTAACAGCACTAACATCACAGAATTAAGACACTGACGTCAATTAATAGTTACTTGTAGTAAAATAAATGTTATTTGTATATTTTCTAAAAATAAAAATAAACTAATATAATCTAGAGCGGAAACCGGCCAACTTATAACACTACTCAAAGTAGCAAATTCAATAAATCTTTGGAAATATTTATCAGAGAATTGTTACTTCAATACCAAAAATATTATCAATTTCTTAACTTTAAGCCATGAAATACTGCGGGAACTCGTTGAAAATGGCTCGAACTAAGGCCTGGTCATCTTTGCTGACGTCACTCTCTTCGCAGAAGATGCGCGCGAAACAGCGGAGTAAATCGTCACGACGATGTAAGTTTGTTCCGTAGTCCGTGTTACGTATGATACCTTGTAATACTTTCAGATATTGATGACGGTGCTGTAATGTGAATATCATATACTATTATATACTATTTAACACTGTTATACATTCACTCATTACGGCCTATATAAAGTCTACTCCTGAACATAGGTCTTCTCCACAGGTAGCCTCATAGCTTCAATTTTGCCACGTTGTACCCATTTTCTACGGATGGCAAGCGTTTTTGTTATTTTCATGTGTTATTAAAAATACTTTGCTTGGTTCAGTTTTTCCTTTGTCGCCTTTTACATACTCTCACGATGATATGGGCAGTTTAAAAATTTAGCGATTCATGAAATGATGAAACTATTTACGATATGACATCACGATTACAGTAGAACTTGTCATGTCAATCACAAAAAAAAATTAATAGAATCAGCCGTTACTTTGCGGAAATCCATTATATTGCTTCCTACCCTCCAAGGTGGTAAGCAATTTTGGTCCCCGTCGAAGGCTGCCGAATCCAACTTCTGCCGTCTCTCATTGGTACCCATGCAGAAACCTGATCGAACACTGGCTAACTCCGCGACTGAGAAAGCAAATTCATTTGCAGATGCTGGCTCTAAACAACCACCAACCCTACCTCGTTGTGATTATTCGATGCCGAAGGTCACTATCTCTACGAAAGAGGTACGTAGATTTTGCAAAATCTAGATATGAACAAATCCAGTGGACCTGATGGGATTCCTGCACGAGTACTTAAGCATTGTGCGCCTGAGTTGTCTCCTGTTCTGACGCGCCTGTACTGCCTCTCTAAAAACTGGAACGGTGCCCAAATCTTGGAAGCTTGCTAATGTGCAACCAGTACCCAATCCTAATTTAAATTATCGACCAATCGCCATCACCTCTATATTCTGTAAAGTTATGGTAAGGGTACTGAACAGTAAGCTCAAGCTCAAGCATCAATATGGCTTCCGTAGGGGACGGTCCACTGGAGATCATCTTTTGTATGTCACGCACTTCTGGGGCGAGGCCATCGAGAGGAACAGTGAAGATCTAGCAGTTTAACTCGATATCTCGAAGATTTTTGATAGGATTTGGCACGCACGCCTGCTGAGTAAACTTTCTGTTTACGGGATCCCCCCGAATTTTGCAACTAGATATATGACTTTCGGAGTGAACGGTCAATGAGGGTAGTCATAAGTTCTCTCATCCTGCTGCACATTAATGATATACTATCAGGTATTGTTATGTATTCACAGTCACAGAGAGATTGATTTCCAGTGCAAAAGACGGAGAGGCAAAAATACGTTCATTCAGAGGCCATGGTGGAGCGGATAAATGTGACCTAAGTCTCGTCTCCCAATGAGGTGAAGACAATTTGGCCAACGCCGCTAAATCGCAGGTCTGTTTGTTCTCCGCTAAACGGAGTCCATTTGATCTGGCTTCTACTTTCCAAGGCATACAATTGAGTACTGACCTTAACTTTGGTGCTAAAATTGAGTCAAAAGCACAAACTGCGGCCAAAAATCTGGGTATTCTAAACAAGGTGATGCGATACTTCAAACCAGGACAGCTACTTTTTTTATTTTTTTTATTTATATTTATTTAACATAAAAAAAACATAATTAGTTATTTTTACAGTCTGCCAAACTGCTCAGCAGTTTGTTGGCAGAACTAACTTTATACATAGCTCAAGTCAGATCATGCATGGAGTATTGTAGTCACCTTTGGGATGGCTCAGCAAAATATTAATTTGCTGCACTCGATCCAGTAGAAATGCAGAGCCAAGAGGCTTATCGGCGACCAAAAGCTGGTAGAAACTAAGCTGTGAGCTTAACTCACCGCCGCCAAGTTGCGTTTGATGGTCTTCTACAGACTGTACTTCGAAGAGTGTGCCCATGAGCTTCATATACTCATACCGTCATCTCCACTCTATTACCGGAGTATTAGACGTACTGCAGGTTACCAATCCACACTTGGTTGACATTCCGAACATTCTCACTAAGCGTTATAAGCCATTTTTCTAATGTGTGCAACCAAGGAGAGGAATTAATGCCAGCATCTGTTTTTCCGAGTGCGTATAACCTAAACCGCATCAATGTGGATGTGAACGGGCTTCTCCTAGGCGAAGTCGCTCCATCGTAGACTTCAACTTTGCGCTCGGGCCAGATGACGGTCAAGAGTGAGTTCATTTCTAATAAAAAAAAACTAACGATTTTAAAAACTTAACCAGCTCGATCCACTGCGGTCGGCAACCGCAGTCTATTTCAGCTGTGGATGCCTCGTGCAGAGGAAAAACACGTGTCGTATTGTCGACGGTGGTGTGTCTTTTCTAGTGTAGTGGGGTTGGGAATAGTGTTGTTGGGAGTAGTGATGTTGGAAGTAGCGGTGTTGGGAGTAGTGGTGCTGAGATAAGTGGTAACGGGGATAGTGTACGCAATTGAGGGAGGTGCCCCTCAAACTAGGTAAGACACAGTTTTATTTCATTACGCTGATCTTGAATGGTAATTTTTTTAACATTGTTAATTTAATTTTATTTGACGGCTCCGTGGCGCAGTGGGTTAGCAATGAGTTACAGCTCTAAGGGCCGCGGGTTCGAATCGGAACAAGTATTTGTATGGCCTACAAGTAATTGTTCCGGGTCTGGATGTTTGTCCTTGTGAAATTTATGTTTGTAAATTGTACCACGATACAAGAGAAAATCCTAATGTGGAGGTAACGTTTATATTAAAAAAAATATAATTAAAATATATAAAATTTTAATAAATTATGTAGTACATCCATGTTACTTACGGTGTCACCAGGCGATAAATCAGCAAGTTGCCGCACAATGATATCAATGGTCACTCTCACATCGTTGGTGTAGAAGTGTGCGGCGGTTTTTTTACGGCTGAACAAGTCAATAACTAGTTTGAGTACCGAATGCGCTGGAGCCGGTTCATGGTCGAATATACGCACGGGATCCTCTATAAAATGTTTTAAATTGTTCATTGTTATAGATATTCAATTACTTGATTATGATGCTTAAAATAAAATAAGTCAATGTGTTATTATAATATACAACACGTAACATAATTAACGCACTTTGAGAAAGTAGTTTGTTCAGAATCGTTTAATGAATCGATTCCTATCATTTTTAATATAGGTAATTTTTTATCCTAAAAATAAATAAAACTACTCACTCTGTACAGTCAAAACAAACTGAAATTGACCGTAACTTAAGGCAATAAGACTTTTAAGAGTGCAGTTTTATTTGTATTACTACTAATTCAATAAAAATAAATAAAAATGAACTTTATTTCAAACACGTTAAAGTCTTTGCGTTCGTGGATTTGTACTGTGACCACAACATTCTTCCGGAATTAGTATAACTAATTTGATAAATAATCAGTGAATTAAAATGTTTAACCTCTCGTCAGTCCAAAACCTTCTAAAGGTTGCTGTCAAAAAAGTACGCATCTGTCCACAACCATCAGAAGGTTGCTGGTTACTTATAAACTTCAGATTCGAAACAGCCGTAGTAAAAGTATACGTATCTCCCTATAACTGGTACAACATGCAGAGAATTAAACAAAGACGGCAATTAATATCACACACGCTTCATAAACCAACCATAGAAGCTGTGAAATAGTAATACATTTATTCCGTTCAGTTGCTCGTTCTGTGACGCGGTGTCGTGTGTTTACGTGCAAAGTATTAATTGTTGAAAGTGATTTCGGAAGTCAATATTAAAGATAAACATGAATGGGTAAGTCATAAATACTTTTCTATTAATATAAAATATATTAGATGACGATTTGTACATAAATTGTTCCATTTTATCAAACATTGCTTGCCATTTCGACCGCCATGTTGAAACCATGATCGTATTAACTTCAATTGTTTTAAATTAAAAGTACAATTGTGAATGGTAAACATTGTCTTAATATCGTTAACATATTTATTTACAAACATAACAATAATTACAATTGTATAGTTTCGATTAAATATTTCATAAAACTAAAAATAACAAATTGCTTAAATCTCTCGTCCACTTGGCGGTTGTGGACAGACATGGGTCGTATAGTTATTCACATGAAATCCGCCATCTTAGAGAGCAGGTTGTATAGTATGGATACGATTTTGGGAATGCCAGTGTTGGTATATTTTTACGATAATTTTTGGTGTGGATTTTTATTTGTTTCGTTTTATTTTTTTGTCAATAAATTATTTTACTTTTTGTATGTGCATGTCATTATATTTTTTTGCACTTGATTGACAAGTGAAACACTCTTTGTTTTCACTCTTAGCCCAAGGTTATCTGGAAGAGATTGCTTTTTGTACGTAGTAGTTTTTATTGCTAAGCAATAATCCTTAGCTCGTTGCGGTGCTATAGTTGGAATAGCCTCAAAGTACGAAACGGTCACCCATCCAGTTGCAAGCTAACGCGTGCATTGCTTAAACTTTATTATGGATCTCGCACGCAAGCTATCACTAGGCTAGGGTCACTTCAAATTATGTAAAATTAAAAAAATCTAAATAACAAAAATATAAATCTTTATTTTGGCAAAAAGAATTGTCAAACATTTTTTATAATAACATTCAAATGTTAATTAAAAATATAAAAAGCAAAGAAAAATAACTAATTTGTATTTCATTTTAATTTTATGTTCATGATTACAATTATTAAAGAAGTCACCACAGAAAGTATCCATACTAGCATAGCTGGGTACTACGTCATACTTGGTGCTTTTTGTAGTGAATGTGTAACTTTTAGTTGATGATTTCTAACATAATTTTGTATAAAAGATGCCTTATTTGTTTTGTTTTTAACTTAGGAAATTTTATTATATTTAGGAATGTACATTCACATGTAAATAAATTACAAAATTGTTCGTTACAAATGCAAAAGTTTGAAAGCATTTTTTTAGGGTCACTTTTTCAAGTGTTTGTTACAACTCGTTCATTTCTTAATAACTGAATAGTTGTAATATTTGAAACTGTTTATATTAAGAACAAAGACCAAACTATAGCATAAGTTAAGATTTATAGCCCATTGTGCCTCAGGTGTCGTCGATATTGAAGTACAAAATGTGCCTTTTTTTGTGCCTGTTTCGGGTCATCTTAAGTGGCCCACATTATTGTAGAGCTTGTGGTGTGAAAAAACTGTACGTAGAGTTGTGTTTTTTTTATTCATTATTGTAAAGTGTGTTATCGTATAGTAAATGAAGTAAATATTTATTGAAATAATTGCTTAATTTTTTAATGATTACATTTTATATTCAACAAACTAGAAAAAAATCGCTTCTAGCAATTTTACCACCAAATTTATAACATACCAAAAGGGTGAACGTACACATTTACACATATTCTATTAGCTTATTTAACAATAATTCTAACAACATATCATATTATATAGTTCCCATACATAAATATTAAGATATTGCCATTTTAATGACACGCGCCACGTAGGCAATATAACACTCGTTTAGGGTTTGACAGATGCGCCAAAGCGGCTATTTTGGCCCGGACTGCTGAGAGGACCAAAAATTCAGTGTATGTATTATGATTATAACATAATATACTAATTGGGGTGTTTGAGGGTGTGCGTTAATTACGTTATATATTGTATAATTGTGGTAATATAATATTGGAATGTCAAAAAGTTAACAGTAACTTCAAATGTTTCATGGCATGTAATGGCACCGGTTCTATGGCGTGACGCTCACAAGATAATATTAGTTTCAGTGGCGTAGCTATGCAGCCAAGGGTCCCGGGGCAAAAATGAAATTGGGGCCCTATTTGAACTAAACCAAAATTTTTATATATATATATATATATATATATATATATATATATATATAACATAAACACTCACGCCTGTTATCCAGAGGGGTAGGCAGGAACTAAGGAACTACAGATTTCCATTTAACAGGATCCTGACATACCTCTCTCGCCTCCTCCACATCCATATACCTACGCATACATGCTCGTCGGCTAAGGGTACTCTTAATTTGGCCATTTTGATATATCGCCAATTTGGTCGACAACTTTCGCCTACGATGTCCCTTTCCGACTCTTCCATTCACTTCTGCAACATATATTTTCTTTGTCAGTCTTTCCTGACCAAAGCACCGAAGCATTTCTTTCTTAATCGTGGTCACTGCATCATCTTGCAAACCACACTCTTCTTTTATCACACAGTTTCTCACGCTGTCACTTAGATTCAGCCCTAACATACTCCTTAGCGAGCGCAATTCTACTGCATTCTACTCTCATGCTTCTTCTGTCACATCCAACTTTCACTACCATACGTTAAAGTAGGGACTAATGCAGCGCTGTGAATAGCCATAAGTGCATTTTTTGGCATATTCTGACATTTGTAGTTTGTATGAAAAATATTATATCGTGACGCACATCCCAAAAAACTAGACGTAGAAATCTGACAGTAGCTGCCTTTTATGACGTAAGCATCCACTAAGAAAGAATTTCGGAAAATTCAACCCTTAGTAAGAGAGGCGTTACCGTGTAGTGGCGATGCAAGCATATCCACTACCTCATATCATCCCGCGGGTGTCGTAAGAGGCGACAGTGGGAAACAAATCCAGGAGGTGGGAAGCAGCGTCTTCCTAATAACGACGTAGGCATTAACTACGATTAGGGTTACCAGATGACAGGAATTTTGATTTCTTATATTTACGCGAACACTACACATTGATTAAAACTACTTTTACGGATTTTATCGCGTTTATTTTACTATTATTTTTAATTCCCGACGTTTCGGGCGCTTCCCAGCACCCATGGTCACGGTGGACTGAGATGACTGACGTCCCGATGTCATTGTTAAACCCGGAGTACCTTCAGCTTTTTTAATTATTGTTTATGGTCCGATCTATGTAAAATGAGCTGACTATGTCCTGAGGTCTTGCAGTGGTATGCTTGGGTTTAGTTTTAATTTTATTGATTATAGGATCCCAAGCAGGTGGTAGTACCCAGCCTCCTTCTCTATTGAAATTAGGATGTTTTTTAATTTCAATAGCCTCACCTAGGATGATAGGTAGGAATCGGTGTTCTTTCGCGAGGATTTGTGGTCTATCAAATCTGATGTAATGGTTGGGGCCGTCTAGGATATGATCGCAAACTGCAGACTTCCCGGAACGTTGATGCTTCACATCAGCTATATGTTCTTTTACGCGGGTTCTAATTGATCTTTTTGTTTGTCCTATATAAGAGAGACCACATTCACAATCAAGCTAAGCTAAGTATTAAGCGGTATGTAGTTTCATCGACTTTTGTCGGATGAAACTACATACCGAAAGATCAAAACAGACCCTACAACTAATACGCTTAAAACAACTAGCGATCTAATTAAGAAATACTAAAAAAAAAGGTACTACGGGTTTAACAATGACATCGGGACGTCAGTCATCTCAGTCCCCCGTGACCATGGGTGCTGGAAAGCGCCCGAAACGTCGGGAATTAAAAATAATAGTAAAATATACGCGATAAAATCCGTAAAAGTAGTTTTAATCAACGACAGGAATTTTCCTGACATAACTGGAATTTTAGCCCTCTTTTAGGGAAACAGGGAAAATTTGAAAATCTTAGGAATTTATAAACAGAAAGAGAAAAATATAAGAAGTACAAATTGCAATATTTCTTAAACAGTTTAAGCACAAAAAATATATAATAAATGAATTCAATCACAACAATAAAATTTTTTCATTCATATGATCTGGCTCGTCCTTTTTATTGCTGAATATTGCGCATAATATGTCAAGCACATGCGCGAGTTTTTTATACCTAGGCTGCAACTAAAAGTATCGGGAATGGAATATTTTCACTATTCCTGTCATATTAAAATCTTTTTAATTGAAAACTACTTGGTTTTAAAAATGGAATATCATTTATTTATTTAAAAAAAGATTCTCGGTCTTGTCACAAGGTTTTGTCAAACTTGTTTAGTCGTTGAGAAAATGGAATTGAC